AATTGATTATCTTTGTTGAAATCACCAACCACTAATGCACATGGAAAAGAATCATAACCAGTAGAATAAGTTATTTGATCTTGAAACGATCCATCACCGTTTCCAAGAAGAACACCGATAGTATTAGTATCACGAATAGCTACAACAATATCTGTTTGATTATCATTATTGAAGTCACCAATAGTAATAAAAACTGGACGAGAAGAATTAAGTGAATATACTTGTTGATTAGTAAATATTCCATTTTTATTTCCTAAAAATATTCCAATATTATTAGTACCATAATTAGCAACAGCAATATCTAAATAATTGTCATTATTGAAATCATTGACAACCAGTGAATAAGGACGAGAGTCGGATCCAGTTGAATATATCTGTTGATTTGTAAAAGTCTCATCGCCTTGTGAAAGAAATATTCCAATAGTATTTGTACCGGAATTCGCTACAACAATATCCATTTGATGATCATTGTTAAAGTCACCAACAGCAACAGATCGTGGTTGTGAACTGGAAACAATTGAACTTTTCATCATTCGTTTAAAGGTAAATTCACATGTTTCCTCTAAAAAAAATACAATTTTAAGTGAATTGAACATCAATGATTGGTCATCATCTGTTTATCATTTATAATTTTTCGCTAATAGAAAAGTTAGATGAAAACAAAGAAACATGCACAGTTCGATGTTACCCATCGAAAAATTTTTGAAGAAAAACCACGGTTTTAGTCGGTTTCAAAAAACCGAATAAATGGTCTGACTTTCGTCATTTCGAAAAATCGTTGATAGCTGCAGTTTTGTCTTACTGCAGTTTGAAGCGATTTCTCCAGGCATACCAGAGTCAGCAGACCTGGCTCGGAATAACCGAACCCAACTGAACTTTACGTGGGTAAAGTTAGCACTAGATTCGAGTTTTTGCTATCCGAATTCGTTCGTGTACTTGAGTTATATTTCCTTCGACTTGAGTTAGGTGCAGAATTTTACAGCGAATCCAATGGTGTAAAGATCAAGGAGGGGTCATCGAGCAAAAACTGACACTTGACCCCTAAATACTGAATTTTTCAAAATCTTTTGACAAGTATTTGCTGTTCGGATTTGCTATTTTACTTGAGTTGGGTCTAAAAACGGTTGAGTTAGATTCAACATGAAATTCTACATCGAATGATATCGATTTAGTATGGGGTCATTGAGTAAAAATTTTTCACCTCACCCAGCCACGCCCCCTCATGGTGTCCCTCACCCTCACCCATATGAAGAATTCTTTGCCCGATGGCCCCATACTAAATCGATATTATTCGATGCAGAATTTCATGCTGAATCCAACTCAACCATTTTTAGACACAACTCAAGTAAAATAGAGAATCCGGACAGTAAATACTTTTCAAAAAATTTTGAAAAATTCAGTATTTCGGGATCAAGTGTCAGTTTTTGCTCGATGAACCCTCTTGATCTTTACACCATCGAATTCTTCGTAAAATTCTGTACCTAACTCAAGTTCAACAAAATATAACTCAAGTACACGAAGGAATCCGGACGGCAAAAACTCGAATCTGGTGCTAATTTTACTCATGTAATAAAAGCCAATACGTGTGCGCAGCTTTTTCCGACCAGAATTCTGAAATTCGCTTACAGTCTTAAAATAAGTCAAAAAAAGATGACTTTAGGACACTAAATCTCGCTTTTCTCAACACAACAATCAACTAAAAAATTTGATCAGATAAAAGTTTACTCTCATTTAGACCTTTAAAACTAAAACAAGATCTTGATTATATCGTGAACCGGGTACAAGAAGTCTCAATTTTTCCTATTAAAAACCATGTTATAAGAAGAATTATAAATAAATTTTGACATGGAAGTTTCCATTGAAATTCAGAAAAAAAACCATTAAAATGGCATATTCATAATGTATTTAAGTGAAATTTTCAAAAGCATGTAAGAGATGAAGTAAACTAGCGTCATTGTCGTACTTAAATAACATAAGAATATGTATTCAATGCTGATAGTACACGATCAGAGTAAATCGAGAATAGACAAAATAGCGAAACAATATCAAGAAATCCACTTGTACGCACGCGCCATCTGCAGTTTCTATATGGACTCGAAATCATTTCAACAGTATTGAATGTAAAAAATTATTCTCTTTCGAACTATATCTAAGATTTTGGCTCGGAAAGTGTTCCGCATATATAGACAGGGCTATTTATCGTCATCATTAAGGTATTTTCATAGCGACAGGTCGATCATCTGCATCATATCAAAATGAGAGAGAACGTGACAAGAATTCTCGAAGAAAAGTATTTATTGGATCAAATAAGTCATTATCGCGTCTTTGTCACCGCTAATCAATGGTGATCTCACATATGCGACTTGGACCCGAAGAACAAATTATACTAATATGTCTATCTCACTTGATTACTTCGAATGATAAGAATAAGAGTCTTTAAAAAATTGTCCTTACATGAAGTGCCTTCCAAATACATTTCTTGCTATTGATTCGAAGAATCATCAGACTCTGACCATGTACTACATATTACATATTCTGAGAGAAAACTTCTCTGCATCTTTCTATGATAGAAAGACAACTTCGACTTTTCTTAGAAAAAATGGATTTTTTTGAAAAGAATTTCTTAAAATTGTTCGAGATCATTGATAATGTTTTAAGAACAAACTTGATGATGATACTCATTGTCATATGAAACGTTCATTGAATGAACGTATTCATATATTTCTGATTATATAAATAGTTCACAGTAACTTTTGACTTATACTTAAAATGATTTTTATTTATAATAAATATATTTGAAACGAAAAATCTTGTTTTTTCAAACTTAATAGACATCTTAATAATCATATCATTTATCAAAATAACAAATGAGAAACATACTTGGTTTGGGTGAAGTAAAACAAACTATTAATATTCCAAGAATCATTGCTATGATAGTGAATATTCCAAACAAACAAAGATGCTTGGCAGTTAGTTTTATGTACGAAGAAGACCTTTTGTTTTTTTATTAAAGAAGAAATGTTGATCTCAATCAAATTAATATTATAAATAAAAATACATACTGTTCGTCTATAATTTTATTGAAGCTTTTCCGACTATTAATATTACCCGATGCAGTTGTCTGTTGAGATGTGTTTGATAATCTTGTGAATGCATTGTTGTGATGTTGTTCGTTCATTGAGAGTTGAGTATGTATAAAGTTTATGTCAATCTTTAGTGAAGAAAATTAAAGAAGAATATAAACTGATGAATAAAATCTAATCATGACAAAAAAAAACTCTTGATATAATAATGTTGTCTTATTAAAGAATTAAATCATTAAAAAATTAAATATATATTTTCAATCTGAAATTTAACACATTCATCTGATGAGTGAACTTTTCCAGATGATAAAGCTGTTAGCGCAATCTGTGCAGAATTAAAATGTGAAATACGAAATAGTTGTTGTTATTAATCACGAGAATATTGTTTTATTCGATCTACCTTGGGATCCATTTCTTCATCATCTTTTACTTAATCCTCTATCTTCCTAGGTTATGGTTATTCTCTGAGTTTTTAACTTCGTGCATATTACATCAAGAAAAAAAAATCCATGTCGAAATTTTTCACATAAAAAAAAGTCTTATGACTTTTATCATGCATTGAATATTTCAACTAGGACGAATATTTTCTTTCCGGGATAACAAATCTACAAGAAAGCTGAATTTTTTTTCTGAATCTTATAGAAATATACACATTGTTTGAGAATCTATTATTCTAAGAAGAAAACATTTGTCCTAGCTGAAACTTTTCGTATATGAAAGAGATCATAAGATGCCTTTATGAGAAGAAATTTCAATGGAAATAGAAACATGCATTTTCTCTTGACTTATCATGTATAAAATCATAAATTCAGTAAAAGTAGTTATAGTTCGAGAAGAAAGCAATAAGGAGAAGTATGATTATTGGTTTTTCCTATTCTCAATAAATTCTATATAATCACACAAATGTTGTCCCAAAAGTATGTTCTCATCTGAAGAAATTCTCTTCATGATTAACAACTTCACAGTCCATCATCTTTTGTTATTACAAAAAAGTTTAATCATTTAAAAGAAATTAACTTGTCTGTAATAAGTCAATAACTAATGAATCTTAGATGTTCAATTCTTTTTTTTTCTCATGTTAAAATTCTGTGATTCTTTATTTTTAGAATTTATGTTTTCTATTAAGATCAATTATTCGAAAATAATTAAAATTATTTTTGATACTATAGAAGTGAGTTGAATCGAAGAATAAAATATTTTCGAAATCAAAACTAAAAAAAAATTCCAATAAACTCATAGTTTTAAGATGAATTATTCTTAGTAATTTTTCTAAGATGAACATATTAATAACTGAAAAATAACGCTAAATCAAATGTCGAAATACAAATCAAAATTCTAACTAGATTGATAATATATAATTAGAGTCATATTTAACAAATTTATTCTATAAAAATTTCTTTCTTAGAATGATGTATAAACTGTGCTCTTGTTATTATTCACTATAATTTTATACTATATAAAAAATTAAAAAAAGTCTATAATTAAGTTTGTGATTATTTCGAAAATATTAGTTATTCATATCAAATGCTTTGTTTTTTATATAGTTCTTTAAAATCTGTAAAAAAAATAACCTGAATTTTGTTTCGTTTGATACAAAAAAATCATCATATACCTGTTTATTGTATACCTTGTATTTCACGGATCAACGCGTTTCGCTTGATTCTGTTTCTTACGATATTCAATTGGTGTATATGAAAAAAATGTTTGATTTTCATATTACAATGCACGTTATGCTTGACTGACACTTATTTTATTTTTTATTGTTATCGACGCATTATTTTACTTTTCATGGGCTATTCGATTTACACATGATAGACTATTTTTGGTACAATGAACAGAACAAAAAAAACCAGATGAATTGAAGGCAGTTATGATCGAATTGAGACGAAAGAGAGTGATATTATCAAGGTAGGACTACGTTTGTTTCTAATGTCAACTACTACATATTACTATACATCAAAGTATTTTTTGTTTTCTGTTTCGTATCTTCATCGTTAATTTTTCATGGCTATTTTAAGGTCAAAGTCGAACATTCTTCCTATGTTATTTTATTTCAACAGAGTTCTGAAAGACTTTCAGATTCATTATTTTTGATAACTGTATAGGATACTACCACAAAAACGAAATCTTGTTTCATTCTTTACTATGTACAGAAAATTTTCTTCATAGTTGATGTGGGTAAGATGTGTCCGTCTACTCTTGATGCACATCCACATTCGCACTGTGTCATCAGAGGGGATCCATGCTTTGAAATGAAACTAGGATGCTATGATGAATAGTAAACTTGTTGCCTGAATTGTTATCGATCATAGTAGAAGACAAAAGGATTCCATTTTTGAATAGAAGACAAGTATGACCTTGGTCTTTTTTCATTTTTAAGTTGGTGTTTACCAAGGTCATTTCTTGTCTTGAACCGTTGAATCTTGTTCAAATATTACCATTCGCATTGTTAAAATCTTTTGCAATCCAATTGATGATTTCTAACAACACTAAACTTATTCACACTATTGCCAATAATGGAAGACTTCGATAAAGTTTATTGTCAAGACATTAATTATCTATTGTGTAGATGGATCGGTAAAGAGAAGACACATCACTACATACGCCTGCTCAAAAGATAGTTTATCAGCACAGCAGTGAAAATCAAATGACTTCCGACGTTCTTGTTCTACTTTGACTTTTCTTCATCGTAACTATCGAACATTTCGTGTGAAGTAAAGTGATTACACTGTTCCTGAAATGTGTATACTCATTCAATAAAAAACAAATCAGTTTCTCATCTTGCAAGAAAACAACTGTGAGCGCTTTTTCATCGGTATGTTCGAGTAGTGTTTGTAGAAGACAGACACTTCTCTTCTCTGAACCAAGGTACCTATAATGGTCAATGATCGATAGGTAGCGATACCAATAACAGAACAGTAATATCAATAAGCCTCAAGCTAGATTTTAGTCAGGCTTGAACAGTAATCAATCTGGTAAAAAAAGCCAATAACTGGAGGTTGTATATCAATATGAAGTGTTCGAAAAAAATAGATTTTACGATACTATCAACGATAGAACACACATCAATGTATCAGAACGATGTATTATATAGATATATGTTTGCTTATTCTTCTCATTCCCTCACATGTTGTAAACTTGTGAACAGAACGAATTGTTGACTGTTTTTGTTCGGATTTAAAAGTTGAAAAATTTTCTGTGGATTTGGTCAAATGTTGCTCTCATATTCTAGAATGAAACTTAGCTTTTTCCCTCTTTTCAATAGTATAGTTTTCAGAGCATGACAGCGACAGTGTTATTATTTTTTTTGACCAGCTCATATTGGCACTATCAAGCCGATAGTGCCATCATACTTGATATTTCAACACATGATATCTCAGGATATACACACAAAACGAGCAAACCAAACCGAAGTCTTTGGGTTTGAACAGATGAAATTAAACAATTAATCGCGGAAATTTACTTGTAGTTGACAGATATATTGATATTATGTTAATACTTCGTATTGCTTGCCATTTTCTTGTTCTAATAATCGTGTTATTTTCGATTGTTAATGATAGTTCACTTGTTTCTAAATAACTAATTTCATGAATTTTTTCTAGCACTTGATTAAAGTAAGCAAGAAAAAAACCGTGATAAAAAAATTGGTAAAAAAGAAATAAGAGTGATGTATGCAATTATTTTATTCTTCATTGTAGCTGCTAAAAAGAGATATTTTTTAAAATCAGATATAGCTACTAAAACATTTAAGTATCTGATTATTTTGTAACAATTTTTTATTGATTTCACTGTCTTATATAATTATATAGCTTTTTAAAAGATTTGATAACTGTTAAAGAAAAAAAAAATATACATATTTAAAATGATTTAAGTACCTGATTAGCTTGCATGATGATTCATATTCGTTTCTCTTGTTTATCTGTCTTTTTAATTATTGTACCAGACTTTTGATTTTTTTTGATAGTATGCATTTAAAATTTGTTGTAGTGACGCACTGTTCTTATTTATTAACATTGAATACCTGTTATTTTTTTTTCCGTTTTGTTGCGGTCTAACATCTTCTAGATAAATTTTACTATTTTATACTCGAATGTCTATCATCGATTTATTGTTTTTTTTTGTATGCTGTTCAACAGATATATATATATTTTTTATAAGAAGGCCGCTAATAAGTTCAAAATTAATC